TTCTTGTTCAAATAAAAAAGTTAAAAAACTCAAGTTTTTTATTTTGTCATTTCAAGTAATAGCAAAATTAGAAAAAAGCATTTTAGTTATTGTCTAGTAGACTAGTTTTTGTATCATCTAAAAATAATTCAAGTGGTTCAATTCAATTTTAAAAAACTTATAGCTTTTTAAAGGGCACATGAATACTTTAGTCTNTTCTTGTTCAAATAAAAAAGTTAAAAAACTCAAGTTTTTTATTTTGTCATTTCAAGTAATAGCAAAATTAGAAAAAAGCATTTTAGTTATTGTCTAGTAGACTAGTTTTTGTATCATCTAAAAATAATTCAAGTGGTTCAATTCAATTTTAAAAAACTTATAGCTTTTTAAAGGGCACATGAATACTTTAGTCTGTTATATATTATATTTTGCATGCACTTTGCATGCTGAAAGTTGCATTGAAATCAGTTAATGCAAAGTCAAGTTACAAGCATGAAAAGATTTTAAAAACTGCAGATTTCTCCCTCTTGTTGGTCGAAAATGTCAAAAATTAGGACTTTTTTTCGATCTTTAATTATTTGTAACTTTTAATAACATCAACCACTTTCAATGAAACTTCTAGCATCGTATATGTTACCGAGATCTATAAAACGAATTTAAATTTTCATTATAGGTTCAGATAAAAAAGTTAAAGAACTTGAGTTTCTTTCTTTTTTTGCTATTTCAATTAATAGAAAAATTAAAGAAAAAAGCATTTTAATCATTGTCTAGTAGACTAGTTCCTCTATTATCTAAAAATAATCCAAGTTGTTCAGTCCAATAGCAAAGTTACAGTGTGTTTTAAAAGGTGTAAGAATACTTTTGTCTGCCACCGTAGTTCTTAAACATTTAAATATATGGCAGCCATCACCCTTCAAATAGCTCCGCACAAAAAATGTCATTTCTACTTAAAGAACTTAAATAAGAGATACAAGACTTAAATAACATGAAATAATTAATATAAGCAAACATTGTAATATATGATTACAATTTATACACATATTTTATCAAAATCATAAATATTTATTTGTTTGACGGAATAAATAATAAAAAGTGTAGGAACAGAAAATGTTTAAATCTGAAATAACATTAGTACACAGTCTAATCATATTTACTTACTACTTTTCAAGTATATCTGAAGCTGACACAAACACATATGCATGATGTAAAACAACTGTCAAATAATAATATCAATTTTCCCACACCATGCATAATCATAACTATTTAAAACAGATATATTTACTTATAACTAATTACAATCTAAAAGCCAAAGATCAATGCATAAAGCATCTAAAGTAAAACGTGTAGTGTAATCACCATTACCAAAACAAACAATCCTTATATCATATTAACAACTTCTAATGGTACACGAAATTTTGTTTAAAATAACAGAAACTATAAAGAATTCCAGGAAATAAATTCATACTTCATAATAGTTGTAACACGCATCACGAAATGTACCAGAATTCCGAATTTTTCGGAACTAGGTTATAAGCTCTAATTGAAAATTTCTTACAAACTAAATATAACTACTATTAAACGGTGCTTCTAAAACAGAAATGTCAATCGAGAGAGCTTAGAAAAACAATTTGATAAGTGTAAAAAAATTCGAAAACTACTACTAACCTATCACGTTGCTGACCGGTGTCTTGTTGTTATTGGTTAGCACGTTTTGATTACTGTTACTTTCACAGTCACTACAATCCATGGTATTGCTGAACGATAATTTTCTTGGTTGAAGTGGTGAACATCCAAGATCATCAGCCGAAGAATTTAAAATATCATCTACATCACAACCGGAGCTGTTCGTACGACAGCTGATATTCAGCTCTTCGTCCCGAATGTCGCATGCTTCAAAATGCAACTTCTGTGCGATTTCCATGTCTTCAAAATGTCACCATTAAATTCTCGTTAATGTTACTGTCTTGTGTGCACTGCGTACACTAAACTAGAATCGGTCTAGAAATATCTTGTCAATTACGTTTGAAGCACGTTCATTCAAACAATCGCTCGTACCACGCTATGTTCGTTATGGCGGGTGGCCCGATGTTACTTGGGAAATTTTGGCCGACCAATTATCGGCCACGTTTGAAATAAGAGGATGTAAAATTCGATGTAACGTGCACTCCTATTGGCTCCAATTACTCACAATGGACGAACATAGTAGCGTCATCTGCACACACTTTTCAAGGGAGAGGACCATACGTAGAGAAATTCTAAAAACTTTGTGTCACGTTTTATGTCTTCGAAAGTTTCGACCTGGAATCGAAGGACGCTTTAAAATAAGCGATGATGACCTGACGGAGAACCGATGCAAACAAATCCTGCCTTTACAGCGATGACCTCATTCACCATTTAAAACTTTCATATTCCTGTAATATGCAAAACCATGTGTTATATTGTATTAATTCTTATCGTTTGAGATAAAAACTACAGTCAACTAAAAATTATTGTGTAAAATTCATTAAATATAAGTCTATGGTATTATTAACAGTCTTATGTAAGTATTAACATTCTTCAATAAAGATATCAATCGATGCCTTATTCATAAAATTAATTTAAATTAATACACGTACCTCGTGCGAAGAATTTAGATATCAAATTTGAATACTTTTATTACTTTTCGAAGATAATCAAATTCAGGAAATCCAGACAAAAGAATTATGTGTTCTGGTTTCCTGATGAAAAACACGATAGGTTCAATTTAAAAGAAGCGTCTATTTTACATAGAAAAAAAGATTAGCATGCAATGCGTATGTGTAACACCCGAAAAAAGTCAAGAAACAGTTTTCTTTTTTACGGTTGCCCGAATAAAATCATCCGACATACGCGAATCAGGAAAAATCTTTTACCTTAACCGGACAAAGAGCCCTTTTCGTGAAAGAAGTTTTACGAAGGAGGCAGTGAAAGAATTTTTATCGAGCAGCTGCAACCTGTAGCGTTTGTACGCGTACACGCGTAGATGTGTAGCGTTAGCGACTGTCGATGGTAGGGGTAACATAGTGGTCCGATGTGCGATATGTGGGAATTTTACAGCGCCTGCCTTGCCCAGCCTTACCTACTGTCAGGACGTGCTAGAAAATGGCGTCCAGGCTCAGGGTGGAGTGGTAGTGAGGATAGCGTCCACGCTCCATTTTACACGATGCACGCAGATTATAGAACTGAAGCGACAACACATCGTATCTTTTCGTACTATGTACATGTCTAATAATGCTAAAATTAATTTATTTCATAATGTACAAGTTAATATGATAAATGTGACAGTTGTCGTTTCAGTCCTGTTTCTTCATTAAACCCACGATATTAGTATTGTATATCGTATAACTGCGTGTAACATGAACTTTGATTGCGACAATCTCCCCACCCTGAGCTCGGTCGCCATATTCAACACGAGTTGACAGCTTACGACGGGTTTCGTCTTCTCCTAAAACGAGGCTGCAGACGCCTGAACGCCACGTGGTGGGGATGCGAGGCTTCACGTGAAAAAAAAACAAGCAAAACAGAAGATAAAAGATAGGTGTATGTAGTAGTAGCATCTGGTCACTTCTTTGTCACGCGGTGATCATTTTTGAAAGATCTGAACAGTAAAAGAAAGGATGGCAGACGTGGAAATCGAGATCGCTGGTGACATGCAAATTCCCCAACAGAAACAAAAATCTGGCAGCGGGTAATAAAAGCATAATGATTTTATGAACTTTCAGTTGTTCGCTAACCTACAAAGAAATGAATCGCCACCTTGTCACTGCTTCAATGATTCATGCTAATCCTTTGGAAACCAAAATTTTGTTATGTCAAGCTTTCATTAATAAATTACATATCTTTGAAAAACAATATGGTTTCCATATATATGGAATTTTGATTTTGATTCGAATTGATGTTAGAGCATTATATATATATAAAGTAAACATATTGTAGACATTTTAGAAAATTATGGTATTTCACTGTTTAGGCTTGAATTTCTACAAATACCACAGTTGCCACTTAACAATATTGGATACCCACAAGCTCATGAATGGATTGAACATCGGAAAGCTAATATCAGACCATGGTCTTTATTTCTCAATACAAGTAATTTTAGGCCTCCTCCAAGTTTACCAAGATTAAGTAAAAGAGTTGTAAGAAATATTGAGTACTTCCAGAGCAACTACTTATTCGTGTTCATTGGATTAGTTATATATTGTTTGTAAGATATAGTTTATATTTTTCTATTTCATTATAAAGTAATGTTATTAGGAAAATAATATTGTTTAAATGTTAGGATAACATCACCACTTTTGCTGCTCGCTGTTGCAGCATCTCTTGGAACATGTTATAAAGTTTCACAGCGCCATGCTAAACAAGAACTTATGATATTTAATCATAAACTAACATTGGCTCAGGTATACAGTTTAGTTGGCATTTGCTCATTACCAATATTTTATCTAGTAGGAGCTGGTGCAGCACTTTTCTGGGTCCTTGGTAAATAAGAAAAAGATGTTTAAATAGAAATTCTTATTGAATATTTAATAAACGTATTGTGCTTTAGGTGTATCCTGGTTCCTGATAACTTTACATGCTGCTTTTTATAACATTGATTCAGTCTTGTGCCCAGGAGAAGATGAGCTCAATTCCTTAGTTATGCAAGAAGTATGATCTGTATTATAATAAATTATTAATAACTGTACATAATAGAAAATACACTAATTCCAATCGGATTAAGAAAAATGATAATTTAACATTTAAGTGATGTATAGGAAATTTTAAATATATTATGCTTACATGAATTCATATATTATTGGTATAATTATAAACTATAATTTTTGTTACCATTTATGTATTTAATTATTAACATTACTGGAATGGCATTACCTACACATGTTGAAACGAAAAGATCTTTATAACAAAACCAAAGAATAATTTTATACTACCAACTTTTTATAAAAAATAAAGTATTTATGTTTATAATGATTAAATGAAGAAATGTAGTAATATTCCCATTATAAATCAATTTTAATATTACATCGAACTTTACTTTCACATCAATATTTTTACCTGATTATAATTTCCCAGTAAGCAATTTGTTATGAATTTGAAAGTACGCATTTATGCCAAATAAGTACCAAGCCATCTGTTTCGGCATATCGCATGGATTTGGCACCAACGCTTTGTCTATACCAAATGGAGACCAAATCCAGCGTATGCACACATATACTACACGACACATATGCTACACATATCTACACGCCACATATGCTACACATATACTACACGACACAATGCTACACATATCTACACGCNTGCTCATTACCAATATTTTATCTAGTAGGAGCTGGTGCAGCACTTTTCTGGGTCCTTGGTAAATAAGAAAAAGATGTTTAAATAGAAATTCTTATTGAATATTTAATAAACGTATTGTGCTTTAGGTGTATCCTGGTTCCTGATAACTTTACATGCTGCTTTTTATAACATTGATTCAGTCTTGTGCCCAGGAGAAGATGAGCTCAATTCCTTAGTTATGCAAGAAGTATGATCTGTATTATAATAAATTATTAATAACTGTACATAATAGAAAATACACTAATTCCAATCGGATTAAGAAAAATGATAATTTAACATTTAAGTGATGTATAGGAAATTTTAAATATATTATGCTTACATGAATTCATATATTATTGGTATAATTATAAACTATAATTTTTGTTACCATTTATGTATTTAATTATTAACATTACTGGAATGGCATTACCTACACATGTTGAAACGAAAAGATCTTTATAACAAAACCAAAGAATAATTTTATACTACCAACTTTTTATAAAAAATAAAGTATTTATGTTTATAATGATTAAATGAAGAAATGTAGTAATATTCCCATTATAAATCAATTTTAATATTACATCGAACTTTACTTTCACATCAATATTTTTACCTGATTATAATTTCCCAGTAAGCAATTTGTTATGAATTTGAAAGTACGCATTTATGCCAAATAAGTACCAAGCCATCTGTTTCGGCATATCGCATGGATTTGGCACCAACGCTTTGTCTATACCAAATGGAGACCAAATCCAGCGTATGCACACATATACTACACGACACATATGCTACACATATCTACACGCCACATATGCTACACATATACTACACGACACAATGCTACACATATCTACACGCCACATATGCTACACATATACTACACGACACAATGCTACACATATCTATACGACACATATGTTACACATATGCTACACATATACAACACGACACATATGCTACAAGAGTGCACAGACCTGACATCTACAAACGACACGTTTCACTACAAAGTTCCGCGAAGATTTGCCATTGAATTTGCCAAGAATTTGGGCACCAATTCATATAAATTTCTTCGCAAAGTACACTATCAAGCGCTTTACACGTATTTGGTCGAAATAGACTAAGCTGACTGGGATAATTTAATACTTTTAGAACTACTTTAAATTAGTGAAAACCTTAAATCGTAGTTTATTTTAATTTCATCCTAATCTCTATTAAATAATATGTGCTACATGTATAAAATATGTGCACCTAATTCTACCTCATAGAAAATACAAAAGGTATAAAATGTTTCCATTTAGACCAATACGGTAGCTTCCATGAGCTTTCATTTTTGTATATTTTGTCTTCATCCTCATTGGCTAACAACTATTTACCTCGTGTGACAAAGAAAAGGAAGAAAAGAAAGTGTTTTGTTCTGGACTTGTCATTTGGTCGCATTGATATTCATATTATGTATTCCTTCTATCAACGTTCACGATATCATGGAGAGTAGAGATTTTTTCTTCTGTTATTGTAAATGTCGATGGGAGACAGTATATATATCTACATATACTTACTTTTAACTATGGCTTAGTTTTGCTTCATCGCGATGAAGCTGTCATCCTTTAAATTATTAAATTGAAAATGCCACTGACCTAATATTATTGCCAATTTGACGGTATACATATTTATCATTAGCAAAGCACGTGCTTAGGATAACATATGTATGTATGTACTTTTACTATGATGGTGTCAATTTAAATGCCCACGTGATCATTGGAGCTTATATTGTCTTCTAATTTTATATGATATTGGAATTCATAGGTACATGTATGACGTATCTGTCACATCATGCTTTATTTGTTCATTTTTGCACTCTGGACTATGCATTTGTACAGTAAATGGGTAGTATAAGCGGAAAAATAAAATAAAACAATTCAATTAAAACACGTGTTAGAGTACGATTAGAAGAAAGGTTAAATCGTTAAATGTGTATGCAAGATGGATCTACAATACAAGGACGGATGTAAAATAATTTCCTGCTCCATATCTTAACAACATCCGGAAGTAGAGATTTTTCAATGAGCAGTCGACGAAACTTCTGTAAGAATATTCTACATTTAAAGTTTGTTAAAGCGTAAAAGTAGAAATAAAGAAATAATTTTGTTATATCTTTATATTGCACTTTTTATTTTATGTTATGTATATTAGACTGAAATTTTTTATCATTCTGTTTATTTTGTAGAGCTTAACTAATGGTTATTATTCCTACTAGTTTTCGTGCTCAATAATAATTTATTTTTAGTTCCCATTATGTATTTTCTAGCTGTATTCGTATAATTTGCTACAAAAGCTTAGTTAAAAATTACAAAAACAGGTTTGCATATAATATTTATATTTTTTAATTGCACAAATCCCATTTATTTGGTTTGCATGTAGTATACGTTGTTTGAGTCAAATAAGTAGAATTATTTGAGTACTGATCTATTCAATTAAAATGGAAGAAGAGGATGAAGAAGTTTCCATACCCTGGATATCAAATAACTTCAACATAGGATCTGCACAAACTTTGTATCAAAGTGTTCGTAGCACCTTATACGTTGATGAAAGCGTTATTAGTACAGACAGCATGCAGAGTGCAATATCAATGGAAGAGTTTCGACAATCTGACAACGACAATGAATTTGTAAGTTTTTATATACAAGAACATCAAAACTCTATGTTAAGGATTATAAACAATTAAATTAACATATTCATAGGTCCCAAATTCTAAAATTGGCTTTAGTTTATATTTTCAAGATGAAATTCGAACAATTGACTTTGTCCTTGTTTGGGATGAATACAATACTGAAGCCCAATCACATCGTAGTATGGAATATAGACAGGCAAGTTCAATTTCAATTAAATGTATATGCAACCTACATTGTACTTATTATCAATTTTTAGGTGTTTGAAAAGAACTTGGAAAAAGAGGGTTTGGAAATGGAGTATGAGAATGCAGAACCTAATGGTCTCCATTTTATAAAGATACATGCACCAAGAGAAGTCTTAAGACGGTATGCTGAAATATTAAAGCTTAGATTACCAATGAAGGAATTAAGTAATTTGAGAATTGCTGAAAACCGTAGCAACACATTGATCAATGAGGTCAATTCCTTGTTCAAAAGAATCATGAGTAAATATTATGTTGATCAAAGAATCTTCCCAAAACTAAAACACAACTTCACAGCGGTTTACAGCCGCGATAAAGAATATTTATTCGACATAGATGCACCTAACTTTTTCACTGCCGCAACGCGTGCTAGAATAGTACAGTTTATTTTAGATAGAACCAGATTTACAGAGTCCATGAATGATGATTTTGCATTTGGAATAGAAAGGCTGATTTCAGGCAAGGCATATGTAGCCGCTTATCCGTTACATGATGTAAGTTGAATTCTTTTGGTTTTTATACAAAATACATCGCTTAATTTGAAAAATATCGTATTCAAACATGTCACGGTTTAAATGGTTGTTTAAATAGCTATCTTTAACGTCTTACAATAACCGGGAAGGCACGATTGTTTCATACACTTGTTCACTGCAAATCTCTGCTGACACTTTCTAAAGAAGCCTACCTATCTATTCAGCGATTTTCGTACCCTGCTTAACTTCCTGTTGGACACAAAACGTCTATAGGATTTCCGTATCTTGTCCTAATCTGTTTTCGTGCCATAAAGATAGATAAGTTACAGTTATACGTCAGCTCATTGAGGTATTGGTGTTCAATATTACCAACTGTCACTGCATTCTTCTCCTTCAGTCCATAGTATGATTATCGAAACACATGAAATTGGCCATTTAGTGTTTACCTGAATTGTTCTACTCTGCAGTGTAAAAAGAATACTTTGAAATGAATCACGCTATCATAGATTGCATATTTTTATATTAGCTAGACTAAATTCCTTGGCTTACTCTCTTTGAAATTTGATAACGGTTCATTTCTGAAAATATTTATTTATAAAATTAATTTATTTTATTTGTATTAGAAAGAACAGTATTTTATGCAACAGTATTTTAAGAACAGCAATTAATATGTTTTTATGAGATATAAGATAGTAGTCTTTATATAGTAGTAGTCTTTATATATAGTAGTCTTTGTATTTCTTTACTTACCGCGTTTTATTGCACGTTCGGAAACAGTGTGCTATGAAAGTACATAATTTATGGTCGTTACTGGTCGTTACAAGCTTAGCTTGGCCAGGGGTCGAGGGTTTTACTGTACCTGTACCTTTATAATCCCTATTTCACCTCCGTTTGCCGTTATGCCGTTTGAGCCCCAGGGGTCATTGGAAAAACACGGTCGAAAAATGCCGAATAGTGTACTTATATTTCAAGTTTTGTTCAATAAGAAGTTTTGAGGAGACAACAATGAAATGCAAAATATGTTAGTTATATTATTTACACTTTAAAAAGCAGCTATGCGATGTACATACGACAGTAAAGTTGAGCGCACTTACTTCGACAATCTATGAGTGTCCTTGGGACTCAAACAGTTAATACACGGCGAACTAATACCTCGGAATAATGATTAAACGATACGAACTGAAATGCATCATTAAAAAAACGGTAATTTATGCTGAACTTAAATATTACGTGGCGTGCCTTTAGATTTTGTTCGTCTCTTAAATTTCTCTATTTTCAACTAATTTTTGTTTTAGGGAGACTTACAATCACCAGAATCTATGAGATATCTTTTATACACTGAATGGGCTAGTTTGAGGAAGTGTCTTCATTATCAACCTTTAGATTATGTCAAAGAATATTTTGGTGTAAAAATTGGACTTTACTTTGCTTGGCTTGGATTTTACACACATATGCTGATACCAGCCAGTATTGTTGGTCTTCTTTGCTTCATATATAGTTGTATGACCTTGTATTATAATGAACCAAGTGAGGATGTTTGTAATGGCAATGGTACTATCCTAATGTGTCCTTTATGCGACAAATTGTGTAGTTATTGGGACTTAAAAGAGACTTGTCTCCATTCAAGAATTACATATTTATTTGACAACCCATCTACCGTATTTTTTTCGATATTTATGTCATTGTGGGGTATGTATTGTTATAGAATATCAAATGTATTGATATTAAAGTGTCGATTTTTAATTATTTACTTTGTATGCTTATTAACAGCTACATTATTTTTGGAATTATGGAAAAGATATTCGGCTGAAATAACACATAGATGGGACCTGACTGGTTTAGATGCTCAAGAGGAACATCCTCGACCGCAGTACTTAGCACGTTTAGCCCATATTAAAAAGAAGTCCCTTAATATTATTACAAATACTGAAGAACCAAAGGTGCCATTTTGGAAAATGAGAGTACCAGCAACGATCCTTAGTTTTTCAGTTGTTTTATTGTTGGTACGCTAGTTTTAGATATTAGTATATGCTATATTCTATAGTATTTCAAATTAAAAGTGTATTTCATGTTATAGATTGCAATAGCGATGGCCGCTGTGTTGGGAGTTGTTCTATACAGAATGTCTGTGTTAACTGCGTTAAGTGTTTATGGACAACCTATGGTAACTAGTTATGCAATACTCTTTACAACAGCTACTGCAGCTAGTATCAATTTATGTTGCATTATTGTCTTCAATTGGGTCTACGTTTGGTTGGCCGAGTATTTAACAGAGGTATTTCAAAGGGAGATGGATTTTCAGTTTACATATCTGTCTTTTATTCTCTTTTGTAATACGTTTTATTAATTTTACAGATCGAATTGCTTCGTACACAAACTGAATTTGACGATAGTTTAACGTTAAAAATATATCTACTTGAATTCGTAAATTATTACGCTTCCATATTTTATATAGCATTTTTCAAAGGAAAGTTTGTTGGATATCCAGGTGGTTACAATCGATTTTTTGATTATCGACAAGAAGAATGTGGTCCTGGTGGTTGTCTTATGGAACTATGTATACAATTAAGTATTATTATGATTGGCAAACAAGCAATGAACACGATATTAGAAATGCTATATCCGTTATTTTTCAAATGGTTAAACACATTGAAAGTACATGTTGGAATGAGTATGATGAATGGCGAAAGAAAAAATAATTCTAGAAAATATCTCCAGTGGATCAAAGATTACAAATTAGTAGAATGGGGTCCAAGAAGTTTATTTCCAGAATATTTGGAAATGGGTAATTATTGCATGAGGTTCATATTAATTTTTCATCTTTAGAATTTTAACTGATTTTTAACGACTTTTATGTACTTCAGTATTACAATATGGATTTGTTACCATTTTCGTTGCTGCATTTCCATTAGCACCATTCTTTGCATTATTGAATAACGTTTTTGAAATGCGTCTTGATGCAAAAAAATTGTTAATAATGTACAGAAGACCGGTCGGACAGCGTGTTATAGATATAGGTGTATGGTATCGTATTCTCGATTTCATTTCCAAGCTCGCGGTTATAACTAATGTAGGTTTGAATATTTATCAATAATGTATTATACATAGTACAATATACAAATGTATAATATCTAATTAATGTGTTTCAGGCATTCATTATAGCTTTTACATCGAATTTTATACCAAGATTAGTATATCGAATTACTGTTTCCGATAATTATTCGTTAGAAGGTTTCTTAGACCATTCGCTGTCAAAGTTCAACACAAGTGAACTAAGGAATGGGACGGCGCCGAATTCCTTATCTGCTAATGAACAAATAGATATATGCAGATATCCAGATTACAGAGAACCACCAAGCTCTCCAAATAAATATCAATACACAATTATGTTCTGGCACATATTAGCAGCTAGATTAGCTTTCATTGTCGTTTTCGAGGTATATATATATATATATATATATATCTCTCATTTCTTATTTACTTATCTTATATCTCTAATAATTTGCTATTTATAATTTAGTTTTTGAAAGAGTATATATATATTAGGCATTTTATTACGTAAAATTAATTTAATTAATTGTTTGTAGAATGTCGTTGCTCTCGTAATGATACTTATACGATGGTGCATTCCTGATATGAATCCGAAATTACGCGACAGAATTCGACGCGAAGCGTATATAACTAATGAAACAATTATTCGACAAGAAGCACAACGTGCGTGCGGAATATCTGATGAAGTAAACGCAAATGGCAATCGCTTGAACCGAGTAATGAGAAACAGTTTATCAAATTCTGAATTTGATTTGGAAGTTCATGGAAGTCCTGTACCTTCTACTAATACAAATACAAGAGTTGGTCCAGCTGCATTATGATGACGACAATAATATATGTTACTACTGCCGTACTAGTCGTAATAACACGTATTAAATTAATAAAAGTTAAATCAGTATAGCC